CCACAACAAGACCACATTCTGAGAGAGACACTCCAATGAAACCATTGGTGGGAGAGTTTTTGAAAGAATCTTATTCTGCTGTGGAGTAAAGTGAAATTGCTCCAAAACTTTCAGAGGCAGATGCAAAATTGCCAAAAAATACACATTAGAAGTTAAATTTAATAAAATAGAAAAGGTTTAAAACTAATATCACACGAGGACGGAGACACAGAGTGAAAAAATACACTGTAATATATGTGTCCAGTAATTTAGTGTGCCTACCGAAGCAAATGGGAAACAGCTCAGGTGGATGTGCCATAAATCAAACTACTAAGATCCTCAGTATTAATGATTCAGTGATTTATAATAATGTTTCTCTGAGAACAACAAAAACTAATGATGCATCTGATTCTGCTGATCTGATGTTGAGTTTATATTTATTCTGTGTTGGACTAATCAGATTACAGAGAGCCTCATTAAGACGATACAAAAGATTGTCATCGGTCGGAGCATGTGGAGAAATAATTAGATCGATGATTTGTTAAACGTGTGGATCACACGTCATTGATTGATGAACAGTACTGATGTGTTTTCCTCTGAACACTCCCAGGGTCTGTGTCCACACTGACACGCGAGTCGTCCAATGGGGGCTTGGAATCCACTGCTGGTCCAATGGGAGCGTGTGTGAGCTGGTGCTGGCTGCTGATTGGTGCAGGGTGAGGGGTTCTGGGCTGATGCTGTGGTGCGTCTCCTCCGGTGAAGGTTGATCCTGCAGACGAATCATCGCAGGAGCAAGAGACAGGAGCTCCTCTGACGCACGAGCTGAGCCGCAGACTAATCAGCTGTTAACTTCTGCTCGTTTGTTTGTGTGTTGGTTTGTTTGCGCGCCGCAGAGGAATCTCTCACCTCCCCGCTGCAGACATGGATGAGATGGAGGAAGAGTTAAAGTGCCCCGTGTGCGGCTCTTTTTTCCGGGAGCCCATCATCCTGCCCTGCTCCCACAACATTTGCCAGGCGTGTGCTCGGAATATCCTGGTGCAGACCCCCGACGCTGAGTCTCCACAGAGCAGCCGAGCCTCCGGGTCCGGCGTCTCCGACTATGATTACCTGGATCTGGATAAAATGAGCCTGTACAGCGAGGCGGACAGTGGCTACGGCTCCTACGGGGGCTTCGTCAGCGCACCCACCACCCCGTGCCAAAAATCACCCAACGGGGTGCGGGTTTTCCCCCCGACTGTCCCGCAGCCTCCCCCGCAGCAGCACCTGCTGCCCCAGCCGGGCTCTCTACCCCCGATCCCCCGCAACTCCTGCATCACCTGCCCGCAGTGTCACCGCAGCCTCATCCTGGACGACCGGGGTCTCCGCGGGTTCCCCAAGAACCGGGTACTGGAAGGGGTGGTGGACCGGTACCAGCAGAGCAAGGCGGCCGCTCTCAAGTGCCAGCTCTGCGAGAAGAGTCCGAAGGAGGCCAGCGTGATGTGCGAGCAGTGCGACGTCTTCTACTGCGACCCGTGCCGCCTGCGGTGCCATCCTCCCCGCGGTCCCCTCGCCAAGCATCGCCTGGTGCCGCCGGCGCAGGGGCGGATAAGTCGACGCACGAGTCCCCGCAAAATCTCCACCTGCACGGAGCACGAGCTGGAGAACCTGAGCATGTACTGTGTGCAGTGTAAGACGCCGGTGTGTTACCAGTGTCTGGAGGAAGGGAAGCACGGCACACACGAGGTCAAAGCTCTGGGGGCAATGTGGAAACTGCACAAGGTACGTGCGTAAAATCATCAAGCGTGTTGTTTACCTCTCTGTGTGCGCATGTCTATCTATAGTTCTGAGGGCCGATTGTGTGCGTCTGTGTCTGTGTGTGTGTGTGTGTGTGTGTGTGTGCGTGTCTGTGTGTGTGTGTAGGATGAGCAACAAGTATACGCCATGACAATCATTTTTCGCTCAGCATCCAGACGCATTGAGCTGCTCGTTGCACCTCTGGTTTGATTGACTGCTCCATAACACGCACTACACGGTGGCCTGTTGAGATTTGTATTAATCTCCAGCTCACATTTCATGCAGACACACGGAGGATGAATGTGCACGTCTCCGAACTGGGAACCCCGCTGTCTCATGGTGCGCAAAGCTGTGCAGGAGGCAGCTCTGTTTGTAATTCTGTTCACGAGTGGACAGCCAGCAGCAGTCCTCTGTTATATCATCAGGAAACTGCCTCCATCACACCTGCTTTTCTCCTTTGAATGAAACATTCAGGCTGCACACATGTAGATTCTGGCATTGACCATTTGTCTCCTGAGCTTTCGAGCAGAGAGACTCCTCAGCTCTGGTGATCAGTGGCCAGGGAGATAATGTTGGAACTAAGAAGAGCTGGTGGTGAAGCACAGGTTCGGGCCTGTAGTGTGGAGAGAGAGATGCTATTTTTGAAGCTGGGTGGTTGTTGTGGGCAGGAAGGCCTCAGCAGGCAGAGCTGGGTTTGTATCAATGCCTCTGCACCTCCACAGGCCAGCTCCCAGTGAAGAGGGAGGATGTAGAGCTGGATATAGACACACACACACACACACACACATAATCTCCATGGCTTCAGAGCACATTACACTGACTCACATTGATTTCCTGGAGACTTACTCTGACTTCACCATTAGTTACTTGCCCAACCCTATACTTAACCTAACCTTAACCTTGACATTATCCTAAACCTAAACATGTCCTCACCTTAAAATGATGGGGACTTGCTTTTTGTCCACATATTGTGTCAGATGTAGGTCCCCACAACATGACAAAGACTCGGACCACACACACACAGAGACACACGTTTGTGCAGCTATCGTTATCAGGACTTTTCATTTACTTCCATTCATTGTGGACAGCTTAACCAAAACCTTATCCCCGACCTCCATGCCGAACCTTAACCCGACCACAGTTCACATTTTACCTGTCACATTAACCACCAGCTCAGAAATGACGTTTTGGTTCATTGATAATGAGCTTTGGTCCCCATGAGGTCTACTGGTTGTGAAAAGGTCAGTGTTTATGCTGGAAAAGGACCCACACACACACACACACGCACACGCACACGCACACACACACACACACACACACACTGACACACACACACTGGTCTCATTTATCTTGAAAACGGCCCTTTAACAAACCTCCAGTCCCATCATCTCCTCTTGATGATGCAGTGATAGTGTGTCACCGCAGATCTTCAGGGCAATTGTAAAGTTGATGGAAAAATCAGAGGGGGAGTTGAGCGTTTCACTCACATCAAATTGCCATCAGTTGAAAAGTCGCCGGCCTTCTCTGCTTCTTCTTCTTGTCTCTCGGATCTAAAATGGCAGAAAAAGAAGAGGTGAGGGAGTATTTTTAGAAACCAATCAATGGTACCGGGGATGTTGGTGCCAGTATCCTGCCTGTTGGCCCCGTTTTTGGCTTCCATCGGGGCACCTGCTTCTTCCTGACCTGTCATCTGAAGCTGCCGCCGACAGAACTGGAGCAGATGGTGGAGAGCTTGGAGCTGGCGGCGTTGGCGATGGGCATCTTTTGAAGCTTCGGGGTGTTCCTCGCACAGATCGTCAGGGAAATAGATGAGACTGTGTTCGATATCCGGCAGATTTACGGATGCATCAATGGTTCTTTTGTAGAATGGTCACAATGTAGAATCAATGGATTCCTGTAGATTCTGATCGGCAGCTCCTTGTTTTTTCTTGTGTAAAACTCAGATTGAAATTGAAATTGCCGGAATCGTAATATGCATTTGGGTAATTAGCTTGTTTATCTGTATTTAACAGTCGAGACCTGTGTCTGTCTGCTTTCTGGTGCTGGGTCACGTGATGCACGATGGATCTTCAGAGGAACTGTAGGAGCTGAAATAGTTAATGGCAATGAAACCAAAACAGTGATGCTGAAAGATGCTAACATGCGTTGCTGAGCAGATGATGATTCTCTCTGTGGATTAATTATCCATTATTCAAATATACACTGTTTATGCTCAAATATACATATTACCACAGACAAACAGAAATGCACATAAACACAAACATCTTGCTTCTCAGTTTTTACTCAAACTGATCAAAGCTGTTTGTTCCGCTTGCCTGAGTTCTGAGTTTTGGTGATTCTGCTGCTGCAGTTTTTTCTCAGCATCATCATCTAATGTTTCTGAAGATGCTTTGATGTTCACTGAAGTGTTGGATATAGCAGGAAAACTTCCGTGAGCGAGTGAGAGGATGATGTGTTGCTGACGTTTTTTAATATGCTAAAAACTGGAAGAATACAAAATTCTCAAAGGGAAAAAGATGTTTCATTTGCCACATATGTGAAAGTCAAAGTCTGGAAAATGTCTGGACCCAATTTTCTGGACAGTTTCTGAAGTTCCCGTCTTAAAACAGCTTTGATAAGATGCTGTAAACCCACAACTGCAGCATTTACATTTCAGAGCTGAACGTGACGCAGCAGTCTCTCTTCCATGCTTCTATCGTTTCATAAGATCTTGTCTGTTTTCCATTTGGGATTTTACTTCATGCCTTTCCATTTGTGCCGTCGTTGCTTGGTGTATCGGCTTGATGCGCCGGGACGAACCCTGCTCGCTCCGTCTCTGTTTCTCTTGCTTCGCGGAGAAAGACTTGCACCACCTGCCGCCATGGCAACCAAATCCCTCTCGATGTTGTGCAGAGCAGGGGAGGTCTCTAAGATACTGGACCCCACGAGGAATCCATCCCAGATGCTTGTCAGCCTTCCCCGCCCTCCACTCCACATGTGTGTACGCTGCTACAGATCGTTACTCCCACTTCTTCATGCTCCTTCTCTGGCATGTGCTCACGCATCTTCTCCTTTGACCTCTCCACTGGTCTCATAGGCAATAAAACCCACTGTGGTTTATCTCCGACCGTCATCCCCCCCCCTGCTTTGGACTGCGTGACCGTGGCTCAACCAGGATGCTAATCAATTTCATGTCTCCAAAGTCAATTTCAGTTACAAACGATGAGCAGAAATTTAAGAGCGACATGTCGGGCCGTGGTCTGCCTGCTCAGATTTGTGTCGCAGGGTTTTGTGTGTTGACGGGTCTGTCTCTGCTAATCTCAGTGAATCACATTAGAGTGAGTAAAGTGGCATCGTCAGGCTGTTAAATCTCCACATAGCGAGGGGTCCTCAGCTCTAAGCCGATGCCATTAGACGTTGTGCACGACCCCAAATGCAATCTGGGTCACGCTCTGTCACCTCACTCTGTTTAGTGGCAATTAAAGGTGATTAATCAAATGGAGGCTTAAGCCAAGAGGATGCGTGGGTTTTGCAGAAAATAAGTCGCAGATTGTAGCAGAACATCAGTATTTTGCCCTCTTGCCACGAGAGCAAAGATAAATCTGAGGCAGCAGAGGAGATTTGAGCTGTGAGCTCTCTGCATACGAGCAGAAAACGCTTGTCCAAGTGAGAAATTTGAGGAATTTTTCTCTCATATCTTGCACATGTGCTGTCTTTTAGTGCCACCGTGTGTTCGATGCCGAGCCTCCTGACGGCCTGCGCGCCCTGACCCCCCAATGAGCCGACACATTCAGGTTCTCTGGAATCTCTCATCCAACATGCCCCAAAATCCAGGATAATGAGGACACACAGAGCAGGAATATTAAAAGCCTCAGTCGTCTCAGTCTTCAGGTCGATATTGTCTCCAGCAGTTGATTTTATTTCTGCACGAGCCCCCCCCCCCCGCCAACGTTCTGCCACAGCCCAGTGGGAGCAAAAGGAAAAGCCTTGAAAAGTCAGACACAGGGGGCGGGGTCCTCTTCTCCTGCTGTTACTGTAATGAGACCGACTGTCAGTCTGCATCCATTGTGTCCACCGTCAGTTCTGCTGTGTGACGACC